AAGTGTGAATAGTGATGTGGTTTTGCCTTAAAAATACTGTCCCTGTTAGTGGCATGAGTTTATATTTATATGGGTCGTATAGCAAAATCTGTGAAGTCTCATGCTCATCACCTCTGGACCACAGCCACCTTCCCTTCTTTGCTTATTCCCTAGCAGTCTTATCCAGCACCAGCAGTCTTGACCCAGCACCAGGTCTGGGGTGATAGAGACTCTAGTGTAGCTCTCCTGCCTTGAAACCTAAAACCAGTGGAATCAAACTAATGAAAAATAGGCAGTGAGCACATCTAGCTCACTAGAAAGGTCTCCTACCTTTTCCCTATCATTTTGAGTTTTCCTGAACATCTCATCTGGGCAGCATAGAAAGGCCATGAACAGTTGCATAGGTTGTATACAGTTGTGTTTGTTTTTTGCAATTTCATTCAGTTCTGCAATGACCATCCATGTGAGTGTAGGTGTTTATGAGCTCAGGGGAATGTTTCTGATGAGATGATTTCTAGACAACAATGGGGAGGTACCAGGGCCCCCGTGGGCCATAACACTCTTGTGAGGGCTATGTCCTTGTCCTCTCCACTGGAATGGTTGAGACCTCAGGCAATTTCACGGATCAATAATGGATCAGTGAAAACAGTGAGACCGTGCTAAGCTCTGGGATCTCACCTCCAGTGCCATTCAGAAGTATTTATTGAGTCAGGGCATTGCTCTAGATAATAGGATTTAAAAGAAAAAGGGGCTATAATCTGACCTATAATCTAGTAGGGGAGAAGGTAAATATCAATGAATCAAAATCTCTGCTTTCTGACTCTTGAAATATAATTTTGGATGGCTGAGTTTTCTGGGTGCTGAAGGTCTCTACCCTTAAATGTATATGTTTTATTTTATGTTAACCATTGTTGATCAGAAATACTTTCCAAATAGAACACTGCTTTCATTTTAAAAGAAAACATTTGGTCAGAATTAAACTTTCTTAATGATTCAGCATATTTCCAACATTACCCTGTAATGTCCCCAAACTTTTTGGAATGACCCAGAACGAAATGACTTCTGGCTTTGTTTCCTAGTTGTCCTATCTTCTTTTGCTCTTGACTTTTGCTTATTTCATTGTGCTTGCTTATTTATGAGTCCTTTTTTCTTCCAATGTGCTCCTGCTCATCTTCTGTGGGCTTGACAATCAGGAAACTAGGTTTATCAGTTAGGCTTCTGGTTCAGCTGTTGTCACAGAAACCAAGGTGGTCAGCAGCAGTCCAAGTGGTCTTCCCCTCCAGGTCATTATGAACCACAGGTTCCTAATGTCTTGGTGACTGGGCAACCAGAGGGTATTGTCCATGTCAGCTTCATCAACGCTGCTTCCCACCTCACCCCCTTGCCCCTGGTCCAGTCTGCACAGGGGGAAAGAGGAAGTTGGGAGCAGGCAGCAGGCAGCTTCCTCTTAAGAATGGGGCCCAGAGGGATCCCTGGGTGGCTCAGCAGTTTGGCGCCTGCCTTTGGCCCAGGGCGCGATCCTGGAGACCCGGGATCGAATCCCACGTCGGGCTCCCGGTGCATGGAGCCTGCTTCTCCCTCTGCCTGTGTCTTTGCCTCTCTCTCTCTGTATGACTATCATAAAAAAAAAAAAAAAAAAAAAAAAAGGATGGGGCCCAGAAATGAAGCATCGCTTCCACTCACATCCCATTGGCTAGAACTTGGTAGCAGCTCCTGGCTGCAAGGGAGGCTGGGAAATGTAGTCTCTGGCAAGGTAGCCAGGCATCCAGGTTTTAATCTTGGTTGGAAGCTCTACTGCTAAAAAGGAAGTGGGAAGGGGACACCTGGGTGGCTCAGCAGTTGAGCATCTGCCTTTGGCTCAGGGTGTGATCCCGGGATCAAATCCCACATCGGGCTCCCTGTGTGGAGCCTGCTTCTCCCTCTGTCTCTGCCTCTCTGTGTCTCTCATGAATAAATAAATAAATAAATAAAATATTTTAAAAATAAAAAATAAAAAGGAAGTGGGAAGGAAAGGATATAAGGGGACCCTTGGCAGTCTCTGCCTCACTGGGTGTGTTGAAATGACATGTAGAGTAAATGTAGGTCGGCTCTCATTGAAGATACTAGGTACTCTTCTGCAGAAAAGCACCCGATTTTGACAGTTTGACAGTACCATCTGCTTGGATTGCTCAGAAGCCTTTGGTTTCTTTGCTGTTGTTCTGGATTATGTTCCACTGGAGGTTGACGAAAGAGTCATAAAGATAGGAGCATAGCAGTCATTGTCTTTCATAGAGCTCCCACCTCAATCCACATAAGAGCATGAAAAAATGTTCTCAGCACCTACAAGTTGAAAGCACCTTTCCTTCAAAAGCCTCCCAGGTCCACAAAGCCTCAGCTATTCATCTCTTTTTCTTGAGCATCTTCTACCAGTTTCACACTCATCCAGGTGGTTGGTGTTCAGTTGGTTAGGACACTGGGGTCATCTCTTTGATTGGATCACTGGACGGGTTCTCATTCTTCCTCTTCTGTGTCTCCCTTTATTTTATTTTATTTTTATATTTTTAAATTGGAGTTCAATTTGTCGTGTCTCCCTTTAGTGTACATCCTTGATGCCTACCAGGTCTTGCTTCTAGGAGTGGGAGTGGGTTTGGGTGGACTTATTAGTCCTATCCTTTGCTTCTGCTCAAAAACTTTCCATGGCTCACTTGGGCCTACTAAGTCAAGTCCAAACTTCTTAGCCTTAAAGAAGGTGGACTTATTAGTCCTATCCTTTGCTTCTGCTCAAAAACTTTCCATGGCTCACTTGGGCCTACTAAGTCAAGTCCAAACTTCTTAGCCTTGTCTTTGAGGTCTTTGAAGACCTGCTTCCACCTTTCCATTCTGGCCTCACCTCCCACCAGAGGGCATGTCCAGGGGTCAGGATTATCTAGGGAGGCAAGCTGCACAGGTTCTGTGTGGATGGCACCTTGGAAAAGGGGATGGAGAGCTACTGAAACCAGCTCTTGATCTGGGTTCGAATACTTACAACTCAGTCTCCTCCCAGGATAGTCAGTCCGGGATGCCTGGGAATTTCAGTGTAGGGTCTTCCCACCATTTTATCTAGGTTTTTCCGGGAAGGGACATTAACAATGACCTGCATCTTCTGTATGTGAAAAACTGAGTTAAGTACCTTACATGCATTTTATATTCCTAGTCACTCTACGAGGTAGGTACTATTATAAGACTCCTTTCGTTTGTGTCAGGGCACCTGTTTTACAGATGATGAAGTTAATACCAGCATGGTTAAGTAACTTGTACGAGGTCACAGAGCTATTAAGAGACAACGTTCAGATCTGAACCAAGGTTCAACTGCGTCTGAAGACCATGTTCTTCCCACTTAACGCAGGGCCTTTCTAAGGAGCAGCTGTTAGCTCCATTACACAAGATCCTCAGTCCCTCCACCCTAGTTCCGTAATGAGGAAATAGAGAAAAGAGAGGAGCAGCCGCAAGCTGCTTCTATGCAGACTTTTCTCTCTCCTGCCAGTACTGTAACAATGGCAACAACCACTCATATCCACTGAGCATCTACTTTGTATACAATATTTCAGTTCATCCCCACCCTCCAAAGTTATTATTATTTCTCTCATTTTACACATGCAAAGAGTGACGTTCATATAGGTTAAGCCCCATATTTAGATGGCCCAGCTGGAATTCGAATCCAGGCAGCTAGAATTCTTAAATGATGCTCTTGCATTTATCTGGTCCGCTCTTTGTTCCCGCCAGCCCTTATTATAGAAGAGAGTAACAAATGTTAGGCCAGAGATGCCTTAGACTCTCACTAGCCCAGCCCCCTCAGGATTATAGATGAGGGGAAAACAAGTCAGATCAAGTGAGTTACCAAAGATTACACAGCACACTAACAGCTGAGCCTGGGCTGAAACCCAGACCCTGATGCCCCGTGGACACTGGGTGGTAATGTCCCAAAGCCCTTCCTATCCCATGAATGAAAAAAATCAATGAATGAGTGGGGGGAGTCAGGGAGGGAATGGACAGATATTGCCGGAATCTGTCTAGTGGCTCACTTTGGGTCCAAGGGGTGGCTGGATCAGAAGAACCAAGGAGTGAGGTGGGGAGTAGATGCATGGCAGCGAGGGACATAACAAAGGCGCCAGCCTGGGAGAGGGCTTTGTGCAGCTGGTTAGGGGGAAGCAATCCATGAAAGCACAGCTCCCTTCCCTGCAGCATTGCATGACCTTGTACTCAGCTGCTTCTTCTTGGGTCTTCTCACCTTATTGCTAACAACTCCTAATGATCAGTATGTCACCCTTATAAAACTGTATACAGTCCCTTTCAGAGATTGTTCGGCAGCTCTCTTCACCCATTAGCTATTGTACTCAAAGTACAGGGTAATGTCTATTAAATAGACGTGCCTGGGCCTCTGCCTGGGAAAGTGAGAACAACGGTTCACCACCACCCCCTTACTCTGCATACTGATCCTTGGGGGTTCAAACATTCAAACACTGGTACCTGCTGCCAGGGCCCAAAGCAGTTATTTCTAGCAGAAGAGCCAGGACTTTGATGAATTTGGAGACATGCACGGGACTGTGGCCCTCACAAACTGGAAATGACCCAGCCCACTCCTTCGGGCCTCCCAGGCAGGGCTGTAGCCAGTTTGTAGATCTCTTCTCTGCTGGGGGGTATCAGCCACTGGGCTCCAGGAGCGGGTCCCAGGGCGGGCCAGAACCCTGCTACCTTTGTGTGGTTGTGCGTCTTTTCTTGCTCTGGTTGGCCCTGGGGGTGGAGGGGTGGGGGTGGGTTGGTTTGGAAGGAGGACAGGCCTCAGAGGAGAGTTTGGGGTGGGGGGGTGAGGTGGGGGGGTGGCCAGAGAGCAGCAAGACAGCCGCCGAGGCCCAGGGCATCGGGGAGCCGGAGCCCTTTCTGCAAGGGACCCGCAGCCTGGTGCGTTCGGGATGGGAATTTGCAGACGGTTCCTGGTAGCGACGGGGTCTCTGAGGCGGAGCCCGGGCCTCGGTCGGGGCTCCTCGGGCCCGGGTGCCCCGGTGGGTCAGAGCAGCCTTGGGGCGGAGCAAGGTTGGCTCAGCCGGGGCGGAGCCGGGACGCCGCTCCGCGGTGATGCAGCGGGGAATTTGCTGACAGTCCCTTGCCGGGGGGCGCCGGCTCCACCAGGCCGCGGGAGCGCCGGCCGGCGGTCTGCTCTCAGGTGAGGCGCGTGTGGCCCGTGCCCGCCCCTGCGGCCGGAGCCCCCCGCCTGGGCTGGGCCGTCCCGCCCGGGCGCAGCTGGGGAGAGCACGCGGCGGGAGCGGCCGGGGCGCGCCGCGGGGAGGAGGGGCGCAGGTGGGGGGGGGGCTGGCTCGGCTCTAGGCTCCCCGGGCCCGGCGGAGGGGTGGGGGCGGGGCACTGCGCCGGGCTCCCTGGCGGCGCTGGCCGCCTGCCGGCCTGCACCGGGGCCGCGGGAGTGAGCTGCCCGCCGGGGAGGGCCGGGGCCGGGGCGCCGGGGTGGCTGCGCCGCGGGGGGGCGGGGGGGCTGCTCCCGGGACCGTGCCCGCGCGGGGAGCCCCGGGGCGTGCCGCCCACTCGCCGGCTGGGCCCCGAGGGGGCGCTCCCCCCGCAGCCTACTTCACCGCCCTGAGTTGTGGCAGCGTCGCCGCTGGGCGCTGCCGGGCTGGGGGCTCGCCCGGTGCAGAGGGCTGGGCTCCCGGGCCGGCGCTGGAGCAGGAGCAGGAGCAGGAGCAGGAGCAGGAGCAGGAGCAGGAGCAGGCCGCCCTTTCTCTTGTGCTTTCAAAGAAAGGAAGGGCCTTGCCTCCGTCCTCATCTTGGCCTTGAGAGAGAAACTTTGCATTTGGGTGATGGGCCTGGGGAAACTGAGGCGCAGGGCTGCTGTGGCTTCACCAAGGTCACTTAGCGGGTCCTACAGAGCTGGCCTCCCAGCCACTGCCTTGACCATCTGATGCTCTCTGGAGGGGCGGGGGCCAATCCGCTCTCCGGACCTCTGTCCAATCTGGGTGGACCACCCCACCCCAAGGCCCCCTCTCCCCCTCCTTGAGAATGGAGGCGGGTACAGCTTCCGCATGGGCCCCTGAGGTGTTATGGGTGGGAACGCTGCAAGGATAAGAATTGTCTGGGACCAGGAGAAAATTGCTCAGGAGACTCAAGGGACTGTGGGCCTCTACCATCCTTGTGGGTTCGGGGAGAGAGGGAGTTGGCTTCTGGGAGAGGAAGGTACGAGGGGCAGCCCGGTTCTGGGCATCAGTCTCTGTACCAACTGGCCTTGATGGAAGCCACCTGCAAGTTCCCAGGCTGCTGTGGGAAGGACAGGGGACCAGGAGATGAACTTTCTCCTTTGTTGGCCTGTGTCTCACTGGAGAAGAGGCTGGGGAACCATGTTGGTAAGACTGGCCTTCTCTCGACGCCATCCTCTGTAGCAGCTCACCCTTGCTCTCTCCCCAACTCCTGTCCCCAGGGAAATGGACTACTGTTGGATCTGTGGCTCTTGGAGGTGAACTTTTCCTGAATTCACCTTGTCTTTCTTCTGTTTGAAGCAGGTGCCTTTCTCTGGAAGGAAACTGAGGTAGGGAGAGAGCTATATTGTATTTTAGAGCTGGAGCCAGACAGCACCGTGGTACAGGCAAGGAAACTGAGGCACAGAGGGTGCAGTGCGTTACTCCAGGTCTTTCGCCTACACACAGGTCTCCCATTCCCTGGCCCACCACCGGGCTGTGGATGAGGCCCCTTCCTCTCCTCTTGCTACAGCTCCCAGCCCTGGTAGGGTGAGGCCATGAGTGCCTCCCGAGGGGTGGAAGGGGCTGTCAGTGAGAGGCCACAGCTCTGGCATTTTCTCCTCCTTTACGAGATGTTTTCAAGTTAAAAAGAAAGAAGCAGCTAGAAGAAGGAAGCCAAAGTCACTTGGTTACCTTCCCGTAACACGATTTCTGTGGGGCCCTCAGGGGCAAGGGCACCCATCCCTTCTGCCCTGGTGCCAGCGGTTGTGACCACAGCTGGGAGAAGACCCCAGTGACTTCAGTTTCCTCTCTGATAGCTTCACAGGCTGGGAGTTTCTGGCCAGCCCAACCTGATTCTAAGAGAAAGGGAGTTAGCTTGTGCCTGGCACGTGGATGCTGCTCCTTGGACACACCCCTTGAGCACAGAGCCCCTGAAGCTAGACCCCGGTGATTCTGCAGCATGGCTTGGGCTGCTTGATGATCACCAGTAATCACTGGGGTGACCTTTGGGAAGGGATAGGGTTGCCAGTAAACTAGATCAGAACTAGCTGCCCATGGGGGTGACAGTACAAGGCCAGAGAAAGTAGAGGACCTGCCGTGTGACCAGCTCCTCTGATGGGATCCCTGAGGGTCCCTTCTAGCCCTTCTCCAGGAGGAAGGCCACTGCCCCGTGGTCCTGGGGAGCTGGCGGTATGTCCCTCCCAACTGGCAGAGGCAGGGGCAGGTGGCAGAGAGGCTCTTGGCTTGTGGGAGAAGAACCACTTACAGAGGAGCAGGGCACCTGGTTCTGGACCAGAGTCCCTACTGATTGGCATCCTGCCCTTAGTTTTCCTACCTGACAGCTGGGCATGAGAACACCTTCCCAGTTGGGTCAGAGGGCTTTGGAAGCATGTCATGCATTTATTGCAGGTGGGTAGTGTTATTCCTGGAGACTGTGGTATAGATTGAGGCTGTTTCTAGCTTCCCCGGGGAACATGTGGCTATGCCTGCTATGGAGGATGCCCTCTCCCCTGTGGCCAGTGTATGGTACCCCTCGAAGGTTGGAAGGTAGGCTGATCCTCCCCAACATACCTCAAGTTGTATTTTGGCCCTTGAGGGCTTCTATTCCCCTTCCTTGGCTGCCTATGATATTTAGCAGGATCCCCACGCAGTAAAGTACTGGTGACTGGTGGCATGGTGGACCTTGCTGCCGGCCTCTTACCTCCCACTGACTCACAGCTGGGGATGCTCTTTCTCCTCTGGTTCTCCCTGGGAAGCAGCTGGTGGAAGAACGGTGGAGATAATGAGCATAAAGTGCTGGGAGCTCTTTGCACACAGTGCCCAGGGTGCAGGAGGCCATGGGGCCTTTGGAGCTTTAGGCAGACTCACTCTGGGACTGACCGTAATCAAGATGCTCAGAGGACGCGAGCTCACCAGCTTGAAGTGCACTGTCGTGCCTGCGGCAGGGCACTAAGTCCTCTCCTCTCTGTCCTGGGAAAGCTGTGGTTTTCCTGGCTCACACACTGGCATGAGTGCTGTGGACTGGACCCCCCCCCCCCATTCTTAGCATGAGTAGACTGGTGCAACTTGTGTAAAATAGGGTTCCAGGGGGAGCTGGGATGGGAACCTGGGCAACTCATGAGGTACCATGTGTCCTTGTCATGGATTTGTCCAGACTGCCATGGGCAAAACAAGGGCTGCTCTTTAGAAGCACCTGTGGCCAGAACCCTACATCCCGTATTTCCAGGGCAAGGAGTGCAACCAGGCTGCCAAGTTCCTTCCTAGCAGTCTGAGGCTGTGATTGTTCCAAAAGGGAACTGAAGCCTGGATCTTACAAAACCAGGATCCAAGTGTCCTGGGCTCCCACCATCTGTTTTTCCCACCCTTCTACTCTGCTCTTCCTCACGAGTACCCTCAAGACGAGATCGGCTGAGTCTTCTCAGAGTTGTGCCCAGTCAGAGGGACACTGGCCTCAGTCATGGGACCCTGTCAGAAGAGAAAGGCATCCTGAGGTCTTGGGAGATACAGATGGGGAAGATGTGCCTGTGGCTAGTTGGCTGGGGACGGGGCCGCGTGTTAGGTTTTGATGTGGGAGCCTCATCACCTCTGGTGTCTGCGTGGCAATAGTTGGACCATAGGCTGGAAATGCTGCAGAAGGCGAATGAGCCCCATGGGGAAGCCAATTCGGCTTTGTTGGGGGCACAAGAGTGTGGGGGGACAAGGCACACAGAGACACCCTGTCTGGGGGCACTTGGGAGCTGAGTTTCCACCTGCTTCATTATGTGGTTGCTTCACTTCTATGAGTCTCTTGTTCACAACATGGTGAAATAATCCCCACCGCAGGGGGCCAGCATGAGGATGAATGGAAAGAAGTGGAAAGGCACATATGCCTGCATGTGCTTAGTGACCGGGAGCCCCCTTCTTTCCCTGTGTTTCCCCTATACTTGCTCAGTGGCAGGCTGTCCAGGGTCTGTGGGCTGGCTGGCCATGCTTTGGTGGCAATGGCTAATCAATAGTGTGGATTGCTTCTGGCACTGTTTGAACTGAGCTGTTCCCTCTGAACGAAAGAGTTGGCAGATGGGGAGGTCTCCTCAGAACCAGAGGGAGCGTGTGGGACAGGCGTGGAGGATGTCTGTCCTGTACAGCAGACAAACTGTTGTTGGACCCGGGATCCCTTCTGGGCTGGGATCTCATGGGCCCAGGGCTGCAAAGTAGGGCCAGCCTTTGGGGAGAGCTGCTCAGGCAATGGAACGACAGTCTGAACCATGTCTCTGCCCTGAGGTCCTGGTGCCACTCAGGGACCTCGCATCCCTTGTTATTCCTTTAAATCCCCTGCACGCCCCGGGTGAGGGGCAGTGCAGGTGTGAACAGCCCACTTGATAGATGGGAACGTTGAGGCTTAGAGAGGTTTTAACAGCCACAACCCCACGCATGTGCACACATGCACAGGGGCACCAAAGTGGCTCCAGGCCTGTCTGACTCCAGTGGAGTGTCCCCTCCTCTGAGCACAGCTGACACATCCTCCGTTCACCTGCTATTGCCGCTGCTGGTGGTTTTGCTGAAGTTGCTTAAGACAAAAGGACTTGGAAGTGAAGGTCAGGCTTTCTCCCCTTTCCCTCCACTCTGGGCTGGGTGCCCAGAGCCCGGCCCTGCTGAAGGATAGCCGGGATTATGGACGGAGGGCATTCCCACCCCACCCATACCTCCACCCCGGGACACGCTGCAGGCTCGATCAGAGGGGCTGAGCTAGGCAGGAGATTCGGTGCAGGGGCCTTGGCTTCAAGCTTCCTGGGGGGTCTCCCCAGATCCCTGGCCTGGACACCTGCACGAGACAGCCGGGATGGAAGGGACAGGCAGCCTAGGCCTGTGCTCACAGAGCCACAAAGTGGAGGATGCGGAGGGGCCCAAGTCCCAGCACTCTCCTGTGGGTCTGAGGCACAAGTCCGGGCCCTGTGGTCTATCTGTCCCAAGAGACAGAGGAGAGAGAGGGGTGGGGAGGCAA